GAAACCCAAGGACAATTAAACAATTTTAACAGCTCTACACAAAACTAAAAGCACACAATGATATCAAATGTAATTGCAATGAACCATAATGCTTTGTGTATATCTGTATGTTTGGAGATCTGTACTGAACAAACAAACAGGGCAGAAGCTAATCAGTAAATAACTGAAGGAAATTGAATGTCAACATACAGAAATGGTTTCCTGGGTTCGGGTAATGGCGTCCTTTGTACGCCGACAGCAGTCCCGGGTTAATTCCAATCTGAGGAGAAACATGAAGGTGTTACCATGGCAACAGACAGGGAAAATGTACCGTTGTTTTGTGTCTGAAACCTTTTTTCCTACATCTGGCACCACTTAACCACTCACTCAAACAAACAAACAAATACATATTGCTATTGGGAATGATCTCCCTATCTCCAGTTAATAACTCACTATCAAGATGTCCAGGTTGTAGGTGATGACGTCCGGCAGGGTTTTGGTCATCACCTCCTCCACTGACATGCCGTTGAAGCGGTTCAGAGCCCGTTTGGCTTTTTTCGCTGCCTCGATCTCGTTCTCCTCCTCGGTCGACTTTCCATCTTCTGTCTGCTGCTTCGGAGGCCGGCCGCGCTTCTTCTTCACCGGCGTAGCCACTGAAACAGAGTGTGACATTTATTAAGCAGCAGCGGCTGTAAAGACCCTGCTGCAGTTAATGACTGAAACATTAGATCATAATCATGTTTATTGTCTCTTTGTAACTCTGGCACAACAATTTCCTTCGGGATAAATAAAGTCCTATCTGATCTTATTTAATCTGTTTTATTGTGTTGCACCGTTGGAGAAGCCTGTGACCTAAGATTGTCATTGTCATAACTACACTGTAGCTATGCACACATGACAACAGAATCTTGAATCCATCTCATAATCGTCTTTTTTGTACTTTTTAGGCGATAGTAGACCAAAGTTAGCATTACCAAAATGTGGCTGTTGAAATTCAGATATGAGTCCAAGACTATACCAGCATGTCTGGAATGATCTGCATTTTTATCGTTGCCGTTTGAAGCTGAGCGTTCATTTGAATCACTTGTACTTTCAGTTTGCCTTTGTTTGACACTATCATTTAAAGGTCCCCTATCATACTGTTTTTCATCAATATATTATAGGTCTCAGATATATACAAACATGTCTCTGAAGTGTTTGGCTCCAAACACCAAACAGATCATTGCAGCATTACCCATAATCCCCTCTGTTTCAGCCCTGTTTCTAAAGTGCTGATTCTCTTTCTGTTACTTTAGATGAAAATAAGGAGCCCCTCCCCACGCCCCTCTGAGAGAGATTTGGTTAAAAAGAACTCAATGGTGCTCTAGGAGGAGATTCAGGTGATAAGGTGGGGGGGGGGGTTACCTTGGTTGCTGATTGGCTAATGGTTACACAAGCCAAAAAATCGTTATGACATCATAAAGTGGCCAAAATCTGATCAGCTCATTTTCAGACAGGTTTTTATAGAAATGGATCAAAAAGAGAGAGAATCTTTGTTCCTGAAACTTTCAGAATCTCTTTGCACAGAGGGGACACATGTTGATGTAGAAGAGACATGAAGAAGAGGGGACACATGTTGATGTAGAAGAGACATGAAGAAGAGGGGACACATGTTGATGTAGAAGAGACATGGAGAAGTGGATTTTGCATAATAGGTGACCTTTAAATGTGTGTGTGTTAGGGAATACCTTTGAAACCCCTCCCTACCTTGAGGTGTAGCAGCAGGCTGAGGTTGGAGCTGCACGCTGGGCTCCTGCTGCTGCTGCTGGGCTGTGTGTTGCTGCTGAGGGGGGTGCATGTGTCCAGGGTGCTGCTGCTGCTGCTGCTCCCTGAGGTTGGGCTGGTAGGTCAGCTCGTGGTACTGATTCTGGGCCGGGGGGTTGAAGTTCTGGTAGAAAGGTTCCTGGTGAACAGGAGGATCCCGGTGGACGGACAGCTCCGCCATGACGGGCTCATCTCTGGGACCCTCTGTGTAGAAGCCCATGTTGTTATAGGGCATCACATACTGAGCCTCAGGGTGCTGCTGACTGGACTGGTACCTGGAAGAGAGAGGAGGCGTGAGAGAGGAAGAAGAAGGACGGTTAAAGAAAGAAGGAGGTGAGAAAAATAGGACCGGACACAGCAAGAAGGGACAGAGTGTTACTGGTGTTTGATGGCGTGCTGGAAGGAAAAGTAGGCGAGACAAACTTACAAGACACAATACTTACAAACAATCATGCTCGGATAACCACTTGTTTGTATTCTCTGCATTTCATTCAGCGTAGAGTGTGTTAATCAAGCTCTAAATGTAATGATTTATGTGGTTTATTGGTTGATTTTGAGAAGGCAAGACACAAGATAAAAACTAAATGTCAAGATGATCCTGGCCTATTATCGAAACACGAGATAAATCTTCCCAATGATCTTCAAAATATACTTTGAACTCTTAATATGGTACTATCAAATCACCTGACTTTCCATTATCCGAATAAACAAAATATCATGCATTACCTATACTTTTATCACTTTTAGTAAACATTCTTTTGAGTAAATGAAAACTAACAATCTTAAAAAACGGTAGTCATAAATCACGAAAAGGCCTTTTCTTTTTTAAATGATCATTTCTGTATTTTTTTTTAATCAAGATCTTTGTCCCACTTCTCTAGCGTGATAGCGAGCTAGAATGCTATTTCAAGTAACTCATCTGGGAATATTTTCACAATTATGCCGATATTGAAAACTCGTAATTTTGTCAGCTGGTCGCCTTCAAATGATATATCGTTCCATCTCCTAAATTTGACCATATAACCTTAGATAACCCTCTCTCATTGCACCTACAAACAGGAACACCACCCTTTGGCTGACCAGAATGGAATGAAGAGATTGATACTGTGATTGAACTCAACTACGGGTCAAACGTGTGGAGAGTGTGTTCAGATCTAATGCTTGCCAACAGGCCGCAGAGTGATTTATGAAGCCGGTAGCGAATGACCGTGTAATTACAGTCTTTATTACCAGGGTTGGAAGACATCTAAAGAGAAGTTATACTGTCAAAGATTAACTTTTAGGTCTTCAAATGACTGCAATTATTACAATTATATAAAAAAAAATCATGATAGCAATTTAGATAATGTTTTTGAGAACAAAAAAAAAAACATGTTTTAGTAGCTTAAATGTTTGTGTGTCCACTTTTTTATTTGTTTCACGGATTATTTTTTGAAATAATTTATAATTCTTCAGATTATATAAAACAATTTTATCCAGTGAATTGCACTACAACAATTGCCATGTATTTTGTTTTCATTAACTGACTAAATGTCAAGGTAATCTGACCCAAACCTGATATGATACATACCTGAATTATTACTCAGGGTTATATTGATTGAGTGTATTAGTCACGGTTTTTTTTTAACACATTGTATTACACAGTTGTTAATATGTTTAATAATTCAACTGTCACTTCCTACAAGCCAACATATAAAGTACAAAGGTATGCATGATGTCGTGCGGTTCAAAATGTAGTTCATTTGTCTTCATCTCATGCATGAAAAGGAAGAAACATGTCATTATTATCCTTAATGATGACACTGTCACTTGCTACAAGCCCACATGTAAAGTATACAGGTATGCATGATCAACATGCAGTGTATTTCTCTGAATCTCATGCATGCAAATGAGGAAACATGAGAAGTTTTCCATGACCTGCTGCCACCTCTACAACAACTCACCACTGCTGAAAATAATCCGTAGGAACCGTCAGTGATGTATACTGGTTTTCTTCCATCTTAACAGTTGACTTATTTCAACAAATGTACATTCATTCTGCTGCAAGGGCATCAATACACACTGGACATGTGGATTGTTTGAAGAGTATTGTTGTTATTGTAGCACATTCGGTTCATTTCTGCACAAAGGAGACGGATGGACGGCTAACACAGGAAGAAGGAATCTGTGGCTAACAGGGAAGCTAACAACATTACGGAGTCCTACAGCTGCGGAAAAACAGGAACTAGCCTCTATGTTAATGAAAAATAAACATTTAGGAGGAATCTAACATACCTGTTATACATTTTGTTCTTTAGTTTTCAAATAGGGAGACGGGGGGCTGGGAATCCTCCCAAAACAAAGACCATTTAAACTTCAACATTTCCTGTAGCCCAGAGGGAGGCGCGCTCAGCGCCACCTGTCGGCCAGGAGGGGAACTGCAGGGGGAAAATACAAATAAATAAATAAAAAACATTATTTACGTCTATGTTATTACCAAATGTTTTAATTTAATAAAGATGTATTAACTTCATATACACTCAATCATTTTAATTATGTACAATTTTGGGGTACCTTAGTTTTGCTTAAATCCATGTTATGCTACTACTTTTTATTCACCTACATTACTTATTTGAAGATTCAGATTATCTTTAGGAATACTCGCTGTAATGATAACAATAATATTCTATTAATAAACTATTTCGCAGTCATTTCTTAAACAAAAATGGGAGAAATGCGGTTTATAACCTATTGAATATGTAGATGTCATGCCTCTCTATTAAATATAATATGCCACTGAGCATCCTTAATTTTTGGGTTTTAAACTGACAACATATAGAAAAGAACATTTATGTATCAATAATTATAATCTAGTTATAGAATTATTATTATTTTTTGCCCCAAAAAGGGTCACTTTGCAATATGTGTACTTTCATTCTAAGATTTTGATGGGGCGTACCCAGGGGGGGACTGGGACTAAAAATCAGCCCGGGAATCTCGACCGGCCCACTTCAGTACCGCTAGTAAATTGTCAACGGGGGGAGGGGGGGTGTGTGCTAGTGATTTGTCCGACCGGCCCACTTCGGTACCGGCCCATCAGGATTCGTCCCGAATGTCCCGATGGCCAGTCCGCCACTGTGCGTACACTTCCAAAAGAAAAACTCTCCTTTTTGGTTTGGAACCAGCAATTACTGTCTGTCTCTTTAAAGGGTTAAATGCAATACAAAAATCATCATCAATCAATTTGAACATTTTTATCCAATGGTTCTTAGAGGTGGAAGCAGCAGTTAATTGATCACATACTCACACAATCATACACTTATCATTAAGGACAGAGAGCAGCAGCAGAAAGTCTTTAGTGCAGATCAAATCAACAATGTGTCACAGGCGGCACATTGTACAAGGCCAACAGTGAAGGCATGTAGTGTGGAGTAAGGTATAATGTATATAAAAGGATCATTTTAGGGTAAATACCTCCTTTAAAGTGCACAAAGCAAGCGGTGAGACAGGAATGGTTTCTCCTGACCTGCCTTCAACAGCCTCTCTCCTATCTTAAGTATTTCATATATGTGTTAGATCTTTAGTGTGCCAGCTTAAAAACATTTATAAGATACATTCATTCTATAATCCATTTGCAAAGGCCTTCAGACCGAGTCAGAAAACAGATCTCTAGACCAATCACAGGCCTCGTTGTCATCAAGGGAGTCACAGTTAGATCGATCCAGACTCCCCTCATCAGTCTCAAAACTTCTCTGTGATGTCAGGTTTTGATCCAACAGAGTCCTTTTACAGTTCACCTTTTCTCCCTGCCGCCCCAAACCACTGCTGCTGTTCTCAGCCTGCAGTCTCCTCCTGAGCTTCACACTCAGCTGGGTTTCAGCAGCGGGACTCGGAGGAACAATCACTTCATTGTCCGACACATCACAATTACTATGGTGCTGCTGCTGAGCCAGTAGATGTTCTTTATGCTTTTCTGGTTTCCAAAACCTCCTTTTTGGGGTGAATCTGCTGCTCTGTCTGCTGGATGTCGTACTCCACTCCACGTTTTCTTTCGTGGACGTTCTGTCACACTGCGGCAGCTGCTTAGACCTGTTTGATTGACACAGAGGAGAGGTGGTACTGGCTCTCTTGTTACTGCCCTTATCAGACTGATTTGGGTGAACAGCAGAAGAGTCTTGACTGTCAGGACTGAGTTCAGCGAATGACCCGGTCACAGCTGCTTTTACGATGGGGGTGGACTGACAGGGAGGGGTGAAGTCAAACTTTATGGTGCCTGGAATGAAACTGTCTCTGTTATTGCACTTTTTAGTTTCAAGTGTATCTTTGTCTGGTGTTAAATGCGTATCCTTGTCACTGCTTAGGTGCTGTTGGTTTGGTTTGGATAGCAGTGGGCAGCTTTTAGTTTCTGCACGTGTGTCGATCTGGTTTGTGTTCATATTGCTTATAAGAGAACTGCCGAACAGGTCTGCCGAACAATTGTAGGAGTCTTCTTCAAGCTGCTCTTCTTCATTTTCAAAAGATAGAAGACTAGCTTTGTCGTCTTTCAGATAACACTCAGGGGAACAAACGCTTCTGACTTGAATCTCGTTTGAATATCCAACAGGACTCTTATGCACCCGGTCAGATAAAACACCTCCACTCGGCGCAGGTGTATTTGTAATATCCAGAACCGCCTGTGAGTTCCTTTGACGAGCAGAAGGTGACTTATGTGATACGTTCTCGATCTGTGAACGGACTTCCAGGTTGTTTCTTTCTGTTTCTTTCTGATTCTGCACGTTTAAATGTGGCTTTGCTTCACTAACAATGTTCCAATCTTTGTTTTCCTCATTTAAAAACTCCGTAAGACTCTCAGAGAAAGGAAAATCCTCCCAGGCCAAGGAGCTGGACAGAAAGGATTTGGTGAGATCTCCGGTAGAAATCTCCTTAGTCTTTGATCTGTTCAGGCCAGGTGGGGGAGGACTGAACCAAGTGTCTCTGACGGGGGTGTTTCCAACAGCTTTCTCAATGGATGAACATTCGGCGAATGATGGACTTTTGGAAGGAGATCGCTCGCGACCTCTCTCCTCCTGGTTCCCCCAGCTGCCTCTGGGAGCAGGATGTGGTGTTGTGTTCTTGTATGCGTGTCGGCTGTTCTCCTCTCTGCCCTCCTGAGTGCTGCAGCTCTCCTCCTGCTCTGCTGATGAGGTAATTAGTCCTAGGGATTGTTGCCATAGAGGGGTTGGAGAAAGGGTGCTGTCTTGGTTCTGTGAACTAGGATGAAAACAATAGCAACTGTCAAGAAATGTCTTAAAGGTGAACAATTTATTCAGTCACACCACTTGACACTGAAAAATCTCTACTTTTGAATAAATAAATAACAGGATATAGACCAAGCCCCCAGGAAGTGCGCCGGACTCTGATGAAAATATTCGTAGTGTCCAAACGACGGCACTACAATTTCCGTATCAGTCCGTGACGTCACCCGGCCCAGAAAGACTTTTCCCCATTGACTAACATTGGGAAAGAGACGTCTGTAAATCAGCGGATCATTTGTTTTAAACTAAATAAACTACCCAGTATGAACTATTTTATAGCCCTTATTAGAATCATTCGGTCCTTAAAGTTGTAAAATGTACTAAAAGCCAAATCTAGATTTATTTTCTCTCCATTCATTCTAGTGAGCCGAGAGTGGGAGCTCCGGGGGCGGGGCTTAAGGGGCGCATGCTCTGTGAGCGCACATAGGGGGTGTTTCTCAATGTCGAGGACGCTTGCTTGGTAGCACATGTCTTCCGAGTCACTTCCTTCAGAAGCGAGGCAAGAATCCTTCCTGGCATTCGGAAAACAAAGAGTGGAAAAGGCGAGCAAGTGTGCAGGTGTGCTCATATGAGAGGCCCCGCCTTACATTTTCCGCCACAGATTTTGGGAAATTGGTCCGTGCACAAAGCATTGTGGGGATTTTAAGAACGCGGAGTGAGTCACATGTGCAGATGTACACATGTTAACATGTACACAATTGCAGCCTCAAAATTTCTCGCTAGGAAGTACGCCGGCCTCAGTAGAATTCCAAGCATCCTGGACATTGGAACAGTCCTTCGGCGGGACTCGATGACGTAGTATGCTTGAAATATTGGCTCTCGAGCAGCCTTCCTCGACATTGAGAAACACCCCGTCTTTGGCGGAAATCGCACTCCATTTAAGGCGGGGCCTCTCATATGACGCACCTCCCAAGCTGTATCCAGTTCTTATTATACATCCATGGTATAGACAGATAAAGATTGTTCCAAATAATAAACATGGTGTACGTACAGACACATTGACCCCTCCATGATGAGACAGCCCTGCCAACTCCTGTTTTAACATATTTTTTAATATAACTCTTACAAAACATGTTGGATTTTCCATTTCAGATAAATCAATCAATTATCAGATAGATACTTTAGTTATCAGTTGCTTCTTCATGTCCTTACCTTTGAGATGACTGGGATAAAAGACCTGAGACATTTAGTGTCGTGTTATTGAAGCTGTTTGGAAAATGTTCAGGGATCAGCAGCAGGGTCTGGGGTCCGGGGGCTTTGCTGGGATCAGAGGATCCCCGCTCATATTCTGCAGCTCTCTGAAGAAGGGTCCGATAATAACTGACCACAGAGCAGCCTGAGAGGCCCGCAGCGTTGGGGAGAATCATCTGACTGGCAATAAAGTGAGCGTCACTGCTGTGGCCATTCGCAGCAGGCTCTCCCAACCAGGGCCCACTTCCTGATTCCTGAAGGACACAAGAACAGGAACCGCTGAGATCAAGAAGACTACATACAAATGACATTCAATAAAACACACAATTTGGACATGTTGTTCAAAATCCTAATTGCAATTGTACCTTAATACCAAAGATGAAATGCCTCCCAATGAAGCAGTCCTGCACAGCCTTCTCCAGAAACGTGGATCTGTTTGATGCTCCATCCAAACTCTGCACCAACCTACAACAATACATTACATATCATTTATCATACAGAAACTAAAGACATCCACACTGCTTTTCACTGAACCGGAAAAGAGTTCAGTGAAAAGTAACTTAACCCTGGTCACATGAATCCTCTGGAACACAGGGTTCCTCCCAACGCTGTTTTAGAGCCGTTATAAAACAATGTAATGTAATGTTACATCACACCTGACAGAAAAACGTTCATTAATGTCGTACCAACTAAGATTAGTGCAAAAAATAATGCTTATAAGATAGTATCTGAGAAGTAATAAGAGGAGGAGATGTTTGAATGGTGATATACACAGTGATAGATGTTAAGGACTAACGGTTATAATTAATAAATACATTTGTATTTATTTTAAGATCTTTTCATACAATCATACGTATTGGGATCATTTGTATTAATGTGGACCGGAGGGAGAGGGTGACGACGAGCATAAGTTTCACTTTCCTTTTTTATTTCAATTCCAACTTTGGTCATGAAGAATATGTTACTCTATTGTCCACGTTCATAAAGCATAAAGCAACAGCATCAGAGCACGGTGCAGAGTCTCTAGAAGAGTTTACAGTTGTTCCTCTTTCTTTTAAACATCCATGTAGTCCGCTGTATAGAAAACTGTAGTTTCCATAGTTTCCCCACAGCAGCAGACGCACATTCATGACGTCCGCTGGCGCATAATAAACACGTCAGATAGTGAAAGTGCAGCGGATTCTCTAAAGTACCGCAGTTTCTTCTCCTAAGTCCTTTTGAATTCTCCTATCCACTATCCCTTAACCCCGTGACGTTTCACTCAGAGGTCAAGGAATAGACGATAGGGTTAGAATTTAGGAGCTCATTTTTGGATTATCCGACCGCAACCCATCACTCTATTCATTGGGAATATAACCGCCATACTTAGTAAGTATACAACACTGATGGAAGTTTATATTGCTGAAGTGTGGAGTTGCTTGACAGATATTTTGTCCGTTCTCACCTCTGTAAACCACTCGCATGAATACCAAAGAATTGGTTCAAGCAGCCTCCAAATACTGTTATTCCAAATATAAAGGTGTCCCGGGCGACTCTCAGAGAAAGACGGTATCTGTACTCCACCTGCTCCCTCAGACAGCTGCAACCACACTTAGAGCATCTGCATCTGAGGAGCGGACAGAAGAGGAGACACTCAATGTGAGAGAGATTTATAGATGGGTAATAACAAGTTAACTGAGCATTGTAGAAATACATGAATGTGTTTTACCTTTGATACAGTACAACTTAGATACAGTAGATGTCAGCAAAGTAACTACATATATTAAATAAATGTAGTGGAGTAAAAGTACACTATTTACCTTTGAATTTTAGTGGGGCAGAAGTACAAAGTGGCAAGAAATGTAAATAAATGAATCAAGTTAAGTACACATCTCTCAAAAAGCACATTACTTGAGTACATGTACTTAGTTACCACTGATTTTACTTAAGTATGACTTCCACTACTTCTTCCACTTCTGCATTTCACCTCTCTGCTATGTGATCTCGGTCTAGAGTTGTTAGTCGCAGTAATGTTTAAAAATACAATCCATTGGACCCAGTATTTCTCCTTCACAGAGGAAATAAGTGTTGTTTTGTGTATATTTGTGCTTTTACCTCGTCGTGTCCTCCTGTTGAACATCAATCCTCGAGAAGCAGCCTTTACAGCTCGGATAAAACACACATGCATCTTTCAGAGACAACACAGCACAATCCACCAGAGCCCGTCTAACAGACATGAAGTGACTGAAGCTACTCTGCAGCTAACATGCTAACCTGAGGCTAACTAACACTTCGTTCTTACAACACGCATGAAGTGTTATATTTACTTAATTATAACGGAAGAAACTTTCATTAAACAACACTTATTAATTAAAATAGAAAAACGCTAAAATAGTCACTTTCTGACTGTAAACGTCTCTTAAACTAAATAAAAACATTGCCCTCCCTTTTTGCCCAACTTGTCCTTCTACTTGTTTTGAATCCTGGCGGTTAGAGAAGCAGTGCTGCCCCCTAGCGGACAGGAGGTGAACAACTGAATTATTAAATGCTATAATGAAATATAATATTAAAATTGTATTTCTGGATCTTTTAGTTAGTATTTTACTGTAGTTATATGTCCTTATAGGACACACTTTTTCGCTATACATCCCACAATACAATTTTTCACTTGCAAATTCAGTAATGTAAAAATCAAAAATAAACACCTTTCTGTTCACTGATTTAACAAAATTAATCAAATGAAACGAAGGTACACATTTCTTGGTTTCTGTTTCTTTTTTGTATTTAGGTAAAACACTAAAGATTTGCATTTACTCAATGATGAACTACTTTTGCACTACCGCTAGATGGCGGCAACACTTGTTCCTGTGAATGCACCAACACACATTTAAACCGTAGAAGATGGCAGACACAAAGATGGTGTATTTTATAATGCGCATCACTCCGCAGTAGAAAATAGGACCAGTTCAACATACACAAACATTCTGCAAAGTCAACATCATAACCTGATATCTGAACCATATATATTCAATAAGAATAATTCAGAAATGATTCACTCTTTTTTTTAACTCATCCCTTCTAAACTGGATTAACAATTTAAATTGAACGATTTTAACACAGGGCACATAGCTTCAACAGAAATGCTATTGTAAGATGTAGCCTACACCACAAACCAGTCTTAAAACGGTGGGACAGAAAACAAGTAAACTTAAAAAGGCATAATAATTCACCTAAAAGCTGAGCCTGGCTACAAATGTACAAACAGGCGACAGAAAACGCTATCTTTGTGGTATCCTTAAAAATGTGCAGAGTGAACTGTCCCTATCATTTTAACATATCTTTGTGTTAGCTAAACAGCATGACCTGCCTTCTTGTCCCAATGACAGACATTAGGGTTTAAGGTGTTGGAAATATGCTTTTCAGTGCTGTCTTTTCTTTCAATTACAGTTAAAGTAACTGAAAAGGACTAACTAGCGTCACTATATGTAAGTTTGTGTCCATTGCTCTCTCACCCTTTATTGTTTTTCTAACTTCTAGCCATGCTAACTGTGACATAAGGGCTAACATTGACAGCAGTTCCCTGTTACTGGGTTTAATGTACTGGTGGTTATTAATCCTATTTTAAGTAGTACTTGTTAGACATTTGTACATGCATGTATATGTTATTCAAATAGTGACTTTTACTTTGCTAGAAATCCCTTATTGTAACAACGCATACCCTTAAAGACTCTATACAGGATCCAATTTGTGATCAATAACACTATCTCTTTATATGATTAGCTCCTGATTTTGGCATTATTTTACATTTTAACAGCACCTATAACTTAGCAAGAAAACAGCACATTTGACTTGGCACCAATTTTAAAAAAAAAGGGGAGCAAACAAAAACAGATGCCTCTTTTTGTCATACATTATAGATAAACACATGTACTGTAAAAACTACATGTAACAAATAAAGCATCTATGTTAGTCTGCTTTGACTTGTTTACTAATATAATATCTCCCTCTCTTTCTTCCAGAAGTCTGTAAAGATGCCAGCCGGTGTGTCTTGGCCTCGGTACATGAGGATGCTTGGTGCCAGTATGCTGTCCATGTTTGCAGGAGCACAGCTCGTCCATCAGTACTACCTGCCTGATCTGGTAAAGAAAGAGAAGATTAATAGAGATTACAAATATATAAACGTCATTGTATTGCACCTTTCATACAAGAAATGCAGCTGAAAGTAGTTTACAATGAAGACATGATATGCACTGAATGCCTCACATGACATAGAATGAACACAAAACAAGGATATGACAAAAAATACATTTTAACCCATAAGAACCCGGACCCATTTCTACTTTTGGGAAAATTAAGGGGAACATAATTTAGACTAAATAGACCGTCTTGAACACATTTCTGACAAGAACCCCCCCGAGTGTCAAATATCTGAAATGTGACATATATGTCCACTTTAATGGTAAAATAACTCTTATATAACTTCATTAATGAGGATTATTTTTTGGTTTAAATTAGTTTGAACATTATTTGAATTGAAGAATAAGAACATATTAACTCAATATAATTGAATAATACTTCTAATTGTGCATATATCACTTTTGGGTTTACTGTGTTTTACTGTGACACCAGTGTCACAGCGATGTTTGTCTCATTTCTTTCATATCAATTTGATCAAGAAATGTTTCCACAACAGGTTAAATGTAACAAAGGACATGTTATGTGGCATCTTAATTTTTAAATGGCTTGAATTTTACCTTTAGCAACAAAAAAACGTTCCAAATGTAGCTAGTTCTGTCACATGTGTCACATATGCCTCCTGTAGCACCTTGGGATTGCTGTGAGCAATGAAAGGTGCTTTATAAATCAAATGTACGGTAGTATTATTATTATTATTATGTGTTAGCCTGGCACATGGACATCTTGGACATGTTGTCATGGGAACACAAAATCACATGACCTGGCCCAGGTTAAATAAGATGATAAAATAAATACCACCTACTTCATAATAAAATAACAATGAAAATAGAATAGATATAGTACGCAAAGTGTTTCACAGTGTCCAGTTTTTTTCATTCATTCTCTGTTTTTCTCTACTGTGGTAAAGTCAATACGAAAGATAGACTTTTACTGTTGTGATGATGTGTTAAAACACCCTTTCTAATGTTGGTGGTGTAGCTGCAGAACATACATTAATTTGATGTCAAATGATCAATAGTTAAACAGTTTTGCATGGGAGGACAACACACAACACCACCCAACCAAACAGCCCCACTCCTTCAGTGTATGTGTAACATTACTTACTGTTTTATCTGTATCTTTCAGAGTATACCAGAGACCCCACCAAAGCCCGGGGAGCTCATAACGGAGCTGCAGGGCTACAAACTCAGACAAGAAGCTGCTGCTGCTGCGATGGAGGAGTTTAAAGCACAACACAAAGTGGACTGATCTGGAATTACACTTCCTCTGTGTGACGGACGCTCAATCAGCACATTATTTCCAATCTTTGAAGTTGCCACTCTCCTGGGAGTACAGTCATGTCTGGGTCATCTGCAAATGGATATTTTCTGTGCTAATGGAGCAAACAAAAGGGGAATAACATGCCAAACTGTTGGTGCCTGGCTCCATGGGATAAGGATCCTCGCTGGAATAAGATGATTTGCTTTATACAACTATTGTTAATTTATCGTTGTTGAATGTCTTAGTACTTTCAAACCAAGTGATGAAACGTGTAAGAGAACGCTTCATGAACACACTGTAACTGTAAGTTATTCTGTTCTACTCAAAAGTCAATCTTTTGGTTGGTTTTTCCCTAAATATACAACATTTTTGTAATAAAAAATATCATTCTAAACCTTTGTCATTGCTTTGGGGTAAACATGAGTGACACCTTTGAGAAACATGAAAATATGTTTCAGGTTATTTATTTGTACCTGTAGGTAGATTTTGTTTGCAGAGAAAAAGACAAGGGATCCAGCCTGACACACTCTAAAAACAAACACAAACAACAGACACACCTCTAATAAAAGGACTAGTAAAAAGTACAAGCATACCCTGCTCAACCAAATCTCAAAATATTTCAAAAACATTTGAAGAAGGAAAACACTAGTACAAACATGGACATTCAAAATTCATGTTTGTTTTTTTAACTGCAATTATAACCGGCGTCAGGAAAGATTGCAAATAATATACTCTGTAAAACTTTTGTTAGAAATCAAATTTACTATCCATATTCAATTGTAATTATTTTGTGTCTTTTTTTGCCCCAATGTCCTGGAGTGATACAGGCAACTTGCTAGCTGGCTGTGAAAATAAATATGTTATGTCAAGGAAATATTGGAAATAATGTCCCTTACATGTAATACGACCGTATAATTTAAAAATACCGAATTCATAGAAAACATTGGTCAGGATCAGGAATCGAGCAAACTTTCGACGTTATTAATGAATGTATAACTTGTTTAATCTTGTCCCATTTCAACGACAGGAGAAACTTCGTAAGAGTTTAAATTCATTAAAGATAGTTAGTTCATCACAAACTCCTTATTACATTTGAATATGCGTAAAAAAAATGTGCACGCGTCCCTCAACCATTACGTTGGCGTATCATAGCAACAGGTCAAAACAAAAGTGGGAAAGATGGCGACGCAGAGAGAGGAAGACGCGGCTGAATATCTAAAAAAACACAATATTATCGAGCTGTTGGACAACCTGAGCTGCATGCTCTTCTTCCACAGACCCGGTTAGAGCTTATAGAGAACAAAACATTTACACCCTGTGCTTAAAAACGCTATGTGTTGGCAAAGCTAGCTAGCTAACTTGATTTTAAATACATGCTAGTTTTTGGTTCACTTTTAAGTCACTCATTTTAGCGTATTAACCATATCTGTGCATGATTATAATTTCTCTTTCTGGCTTGTCTGTTTGTCGATACCAATAATAAATATAGGGTTAATACACCGAATTAAAAACACATAATAACCAATAAACATAGCACATTCCCTAAGGGTGATTTGTAAAAGGACACAATTACACAAGATGTCTTTTACAAATTGTATTTAATTTAATATAGGATTGCATTGCCGATACTATATATTGTACAGTTGTATGTTACTCTGACTATTAGTATTTTTGATTGTTGCAAACTTTCACTAAGATGTAGCTTTACAATGAGAAAAGCAATTTATTTTCCATATTAACTACAAAACATATTCTTTGTGATTGAATGTTTTCCTCAGACAAGCCCAGAGAGTTTCTGATCGAGCAGCTGGAGCAGCTGAAGATTTCTCAGCAGACCGGAATGAAAGGACCAAATCTGTTCAACAACGCCAACCTGGACGCAGTGTTTGGCATCCTGGACCCCACGAATCAGAAACACATTACTTTTGCCCAATACAAACAGGGTAAGCACAGGAAGTGGACACTAGGAGGTATATTTTCTGCACAGATATTGACAATGCACACACTTTGAATGTGAACTCATGTTATTTACATTGGCTGTATTAGTCTAAGCCGGTAAGCCGAGAAAACCAATTCAATGCATTTTACTTATAGGTCTTCAATCATTCTTTCTTTATTAGAACCAATAAGTACTGTTTTTAATACTCTGTTGCCTATTTATGTGTATATTTCAATTTCTTTAAGAAAAATGCAACATGACACCATGAATTGAAATAAATACTCAGAGATGTTTCCTCCACAGCTCTGATGACACTGGGCATTAAAGACATTAATGAATGTCCTGACGGGGCAAATGAAGACAGGATATCCCATGAAACCTTCAGAACCGAAGCGTGAGAGCAGCTTATATAATATAAACAGCATGGCAATTACTATATTTACCAACATTTTAAAATCCCCTTTATTATCAATGTCATTGTTTTATTGCTTTGTTGTTACAGGATGCAAGGCCTACTGAGATGCTCAGCAACATATGAACAACTGTGAACATTTTTGTGATTTTCCACTCAACGGATGTGTTGTTTATTCCACAATATACTGCTGATGGATTTTGGATGTTTTCATTAACACTTGGCCTTATGTAATGTGGATCTGTGTTTTGAACATTTAGCATATTTTGTATTATATTTGTTATTAAACTGCTAATATACTGATTTGGGTTGTATTTGTTCAAGTATTCATCAGCTTTTTAACACTAAAGTCAAAAGTTATATATTCTTGTGGAGTTTCTCCTATAAATGGTTGGTTTTACTCTGATATTGCAATAATAAAATACATCTTTCCTAGTGTTTTGAAATCAAACCACTGATCAGATTACAACGTCTTCTACCCAGAATTACTTAATATAAAATAATAATAAATAAATACATTTAGATATAACAGTTTCTGGCCGTGGCTCAGTCAGTAGGGGCTTGGAGTGTGAGCCGTAGGGTTCAAGTCCCCGAACAGACCTGAATTTGGAGTGTGGACTGCTACTTGGAGAGGTCCCAGTTCACCTCCTGGGCCCTGCCGTGTAGTCCTTGAGCAAGGCACCGGACAACCCTCTTCTCCCCTCACTCCCATTGCTCCCCGGGCGCAGTACAATAGCTGCCCACTGCTCATACTAGACTCCTGGTACTAGGATGGGTTAAAAGCGGAGAACACATGTCACTGTGTGTGCTGTGTGCTCTGCATGTGTGACCATTAAAGAGGGTTTCATCCCTCCGATTCTATTCTATTCTATTCCCATTTTATGTTGTTTGCTTTTATTTTGCTTCTACATTTCTTTATTATTGTATTAATTGATTAACTCATACATTTAATTTATTTATTACAATGGCAGCTCAAGCCTTCCATAATAATGTAGTTTAATTCAATTTAATATTGAGCACAGTCATAGTACTTGTAGAAAAATGCTAGTAAACTTGTATTTCTACGTGATGTTGTTATTGATTTCTTAACGGTTTGCAGCGTTGTCGTGTTGAACGCAGCCCAGCAGAAGGGGCGTGGTCAGGAAGTGACGCGCCAGCCGCCTCCCGATTCGGAGTGTCGTTGCCTTTCTGCTCCGGTTACTTGTAGGTTAAATTGGTGGTTCTTTTTCCACGCAGACTTTCGACCACATTTCCCGGGAAAGCGCCCTGCGAAGCTCAGAATGGGCACCGTCCACGCCCGGGTAAGAAAGAGTCCGGTACCCTTGTTAGTCAGCACTTTGACCTCTCCGTGTGTTCAGTCAAAAAACATGCAGATCGGCCACTGAGCTGCAGAAAGGCCCATAATGTGAATTAAAGAAGCTGTAACTAGGCTTTCAGAGCTGTGGCGAGACACTGAATGAGTTTCCTGCTAGTTAGTTTAAAAGCTCACAACTAAACTGCTGTGTATTTAGATATAAACCATTGCGAGTACTGACAGATGCTAGAGGCTCCTTCACTCATTGTAGTGTTGCTGCACACTGGTGATTACATCCCTAGTGTTTTAAACCAGATGTCTTTATTGTTTTTAGTCAAAGACATGATATAGAAAATACAGGAGAGTGTTATGTAGCCTTGTATAATTTTATTTTTGTAAAAGAACAACAACATTTACATTTTTCTTGCAATACTTTAGCCTTGGTTTTATGATGTGCATTGTAAACAACTTCGCTGAAGTTGTTGTGCATATGGCAATTAAGCTTTTGAATAATTAAAGACAAGTGTTTTAGGAGGCTATTAGGTATGTCTTAAAATGTATCTCAACACAGTAATCATAAAATAAGGACTTTGGCATCAAGTCATTTAGCTGCAAGTAACACTGTGACAGAAATAACTGAATTGGATCATTAAGTTATTTTCACTTCAAAAAAATCTAATTGATTTATTTCAACATTTCCTGGATCTAGCTTCTCCAATGTCAGAATGTGCTGCTTTTTATCTATTATTTTGTTGTTTATTTAATATCTTTGGGTAATGGTATTGAACAGTAAAGAAGACATTTGAAGATGTCATCCTGAACTATGTCTTGAGACACTTTATAGAGCATTTGATACAATAATGGAGTCTGCAGATAAAGCAATAGTAAACACCTAACATTACCAGAAAATCACCTTGAGTTTTCGTAGCATCTTATTTAACTTCTTCTAATTCATTAAATACTAAAACATGTTTTTCCCAATATGTTGTGCGGCAGAGCCTGGACCCTCTGCCCATGCGAGGGCCGGAGCTCGGGGTCCATCCTGACGACATCGAGGCTCCTGAGATCGAGCACGAGCAGAAGCAAGAAGTCCTCGAAAACAAGAATGTAAGATGTGTTATGTTGCAGGCATTAAATACACCAGAAGTGTTTATTTTACTTGCAAAATTATTATACATATTTTGTTCTCTGTATTCCTAACGCTGTCTGTCTCCTTCTCAGGTTGTCGTTCAACAAGTTCACATAGATGGGCTCGGAAGAACGAAGGATGACTTGTTGACGTATGAAATCAAAGAAGTGTTCCGGGCAAAGAACCTGATAGATGTAGGTGCACGTTGCTACAGCCGAACTACCCAATGATTCTTTAGCTGTAGGCCTCTGAGTAACTGAAACAAGCTTCAAAAACTTGACTTCATTTGTTGTGCAGGTGATGAGAAAGTCCCATGAAGCCCGACAGAAGCTGCTGCGCCTCGGTATCTTTAGAAAAGTTGAAGTTGTTATCGACACATCGAGAGGTACAGCCAATCACTGCACTGATATCAGACTAGAGTTGTTACATACACAATCTCAAGATATCTGACTTGTTATTTGAAACCAAACAAGCATGTGTTTTCTCTTCTCTTCAGGTGACGGGGCTCTTCCTAACGGCCTCGATGTGACGTTTGAAGTCACCGAGCTGAGGCGGATGACCGGCAGTTACAACACCATGGTCGGGAACAATGAAGGAAGCATGGTGAGCAAAATGATAAATGTCACTTTCAAATGTGTTTCTTTTGCACTATATCTTAATGCTCAATGTTTTTTACTTAAGCACTTTGCATTTCATTTTTATTTGTTCTGTTCATGGTATGCAAAAGTTAATGTATAATAATTGTTAACAAAACATGCCTCTATAAAAACACCACTGACCGAAAAGGAGCAGGGAGAAGAAAATAAACGTATATGACCTGCCCCTTTCTAAAAGAATAGAAATAGATGGTCTGTCCTTAATATTTATTTTTCACTGCCAAACTTATTCACAGCCAAACACAGCCAACCAAAGTCTTCTGTAAAGATAATTTAATATGAATTTAAGTTTGTCGCACTGGGTTATTTTATCGCGATGAGATTTCACTGTTACTGTGTTTATTTTTTTAGGCCTTTTGAGTTCAAATGTCTTTTTGTATGTGATCTTTTTAAAGGTTTGGATGCTTCTGAATACACAATTGAAACCGTAATCATCAAACCCGCTTTGTTTTCAGGTACTGGGCCTGAAGTTACCTAATGTTTTGGGTCGAGCAGAGAAGATGAACTTCCAGTTCTCCTACGGCACCAAAGAGACGTCCTACGGTCTGTCCTTCTTCAAACCCCAACCTGGGAACTTTGAACGCAAGTAAGACATAAAAAAGTACAGCGATGTGTCTAATCAGCTTAATACATGGCATCTGTGTCTTCTGTATTTGAAGGAAAGCTATTTTGTTTGATAACAATTCCACAGTTCATATTTTATTATATATCTTTGCCAGGGTACGAAGTTGAAAACGTTTCACATAAAAGACTTAAAAATAGCAAAAAGTTAATAAAAATAACCTGAGAAATCTCACGTAGAAAGAATCCTAGCCTGGTGTTGATATTTTTCTTTTCCTCTTACAGCATCACACTCAACATGTACAAAGTAACGGGTCAGTTTCCCTGGAGTTCCCTGAGGGAGACGGATCGAGGTATCTCTGGAGAAATGAGCGTAAATACTTGTTTCTATTCATGTGTCTATTTATTTCATTTTGCGCAGTTAAAAGTTAAACAGATTCTGTGTCGCAAAGAGTCCTAATAGAAGGCATTAGAGTGATTTGTAAGGTCCCATAAGTCTGGGGTTTTTGCTCTTAAATGTACTTAAACTTACATTCTACATTTAAAGGTGGGGTAGGTAAGTTTGAGAAACCGGCTCGAGATACACTTTTTGTTATATTCCATGGAATGCTCTTAATATCCCGATAGCAATGAATATCTGAAGTGCTTTGACAATAAATCCATAAAAAAATGTCATCTGTGGAAGCTGTGGCGCTGTAAAAAGCACGACCAATCATCTGAGCCGGCCCGGCTAAAGTAACTGGATGGCCTACCTGCCTGTCAGCCTTCCATCTGTGCACAAACTTATCTCGTGCCCTCATTGGTCATGTGCGCGTTCGTGTGTGTTGCAAGCCAAAAAATCGTTATGACATCATAAAGTGGCCAAAATCTGATCAGTTCATTTTCAGACAGGTTTTTATAGAAATGGATGAGGACAAAAAGAGAGAGAATCTTTGTTCCTGAAACTTTCAGAGTCTCTTTACACAGAGGGGACACATGTTGATGTAGAAGAGACATGAAGAAGAGGGGACACATGTTGATGTAGAAGAGACATGGAGAAGAGGGGACACATGTTGATGTAGAAGAGACATGAAGAAGAGGGGACACATGTTGATGTAGAAGANCCTGAAGCATCCTCCCTGCAGAATTGATGCATAATCCTGAATCCCTGCTGGTCAGGGGAGTATACTACGAAGCAGGATGTTCTCTTAGCGGCTAACTTCAGGGAAAACTCGGGGTTTCCGGTCCTACGAAGCTGGTTCTCTTTTTAGCAGGCTAGATCTCCATGGTAACTTATGCTGTGCGGCTAACCTGCCCCGGAGCAGGTTAGGTTGCAGGCTAAGAGATCAACTCAGTGAAAGCACCGCCTGCTGACCAATCAGAGCTCAGTGTGCGGAGTTTAAAGCGATCAAGTCATATTACAGGAGAAAGGAAATACAGAAAAGCTGCCGTTGCAGGAAAGACGGCCGGCAAAAATCACCGACTGTGTGAACGTGAACATTTATAGAATATCACCTCCCATGTTCAGAGCAATCTGACTATTATAACATTAGCGTTAAGAAAGCTTACTTAAATATCTGCCACAACATAAGTAACCGGATCAGAGTAACATTAAGTACAGTCCGCGGCATATCACATCATAATGTATTTCCTTATCTGAGTCAGCTGAGCCGTATCTGGCCGTGCAACACTCACAGTGTCACATAGGCTACTGTATGCAGAAGTATTATATTATTTGAACACATTAAGTTGAAGAAACACTCGAGTAAAATGTAATTAAAGTCAGATCGTTTCTTAGACGGGGCAGTGATATCATAAACCTGTTAATGTACGCATTCAAACACTTTTTCTTTTACCAGCTGTATTCACCTTGCAGGTGCAACTGTGGCTTTTATCCTGGATAAAGTGTTTAAGTCATGGATGTTTAAAGTTTAACTTCTTCATATGTCTACTATTATAGTTGACTTTTCATTCAGGAAGTATGACGCTGCGCTGTCAGTACGCTTCTCCATGTTTGTGATTGGTCTAATGCTCCAAATACCACCCCTTTCATGTGAACGCGCACCTAACTAGATAGGACACGGCTGGCTTGAGCGATCCACTTGAAAAGACCTCTGAATACACGTGCTACTGACAATTTTACAAAAACATTTAGTAGGATGAATTGATACCATGACATTTTGGGCAGAAAAGTAATCTAAACTGCATTAACTGGGTGCTAATTCTAGTTTTTAAGTTAAATATAAAAAACAATATGACATGCATGTGGACCAGGTTGACGTTTCTGTTGTTGTTTCTGATGTGTAGGAACTTGCTGGTTACACCGGAGGAGACGCCAGTTTCCTGAAGGAGGACTTTGAGATCCAGCTCAACAAAACACTCTTCTGGGACTCGGTGAGATTCACATTCATAAAAATGCTGTTTTCTCTGAGTTTCAAGATCCTAATAAATGATTCCAGTAACATATTCAGGCTTTTGTTTAGCAGATACATTCACTTTATTAAACCCTTTTCTCCTCCAGGTCCTTTCTGCATCAATGTGGGGGGGTCTGCTGCTGCCCATTGGGGACAAGCCAACAAGCATAGCAGACAGGTACAGAAACAAAATGCACCGCATCATTATAAACTATTACGATATGCATGAGACCAGAGTGTTTGAAGTCGTGGCACTCAAAACAACATAAGCCCAGTTTTTTTTGCCTGTATTTGTTTTACATTCTACCAAATTCACACCAAAAGTGTTGACGAAATTAACTATTAGAAGTTTGTGTTTGCAAAGTACCCGTGTACGTTAAGACATCTATCTCTGGAATACTTTGATATTGAAGAAAACTTAAATAAGGGATTATTTTAAGGCAAGTTTTGTAGTTTTAGGGAGTTCCTTTTTTATGATTTCTCAATAGCGTTATGACAAAGATCATAAATAAGGATGTATGGCAAACCAAAGAATTATAAAACAGTACATTTAGCCAGATTCAAAAGACTTGGTTTAAAAATATCAACATTTTCTGACATATCTTTAGGGAGTACAAGTTTGCACAATTTAGGCAATTTTAGGCAAATTGCTGCAATGGAGAAAACTATATTCAATAAAAAAAAAAAAGTACTTATTTCCCATTTTTCGTTTTCATTTATTCAATTCCATTTGGCTTTATTGGCATGGGACTGTTGCAAAAGCATTGAAATACAAAAGTACATAATAATATGAATATTAACACAACTGGAAACCCATAACTGTATTACATATCGTATGTTTTAGATAGACGGGATGGATAGATAGATAGGTAGGTACTTTATTGATCCCAATTTTGGAAATATTTGCGTTGCAGCAGCAGCCTTGTAAAACGTATTGTTCAAGGCAATGTACATGAGAAATTATGACATAAGAAATAAACAGTCCTAAATATTTCTGAAACAGAAATAAAATAGCATTAAAAATAAAAGATATATACGTGGAAAATATACATGTGGAAACGTATGTGTCTCTGTGGTCCTCCCAGGTTCTATCTGGGCGGCCCCACCAGCATCCGAGGGTTCAGTATGTACAGTCTGGGCCCGCAGAGTGAAGGTGAGACCTTACCCCCTCTGAGCTTCTGGTGAACGTTGGAGTTTGATGGTTATTTAAATGTTGTGTGCTTTGATTACTGATGTGGCAGGAGACTACCTGGGAGGAGAGGGCTACTGGGCGGGGGGGCTGCACCTCTACACCCCTCTGCCCTTCAGGCCGGGCAAGGGGGGCTTCGGGGATCTCTTCAGGACGCACTTCTTCCTCAACGCCGGAAACCTCTGTAACCTCAACTATGGTGAGAAGATAACAGAACGAGCACCTCTGTAATGTTTTGGGTTCATGCGATCGTGATATCTAGTCTCGTATCACAATATGGAGTAGGGGACAATGTGCAGAGAGGCGGTCATTCATAAAAACTGACCACCAGGTGAGCGGGATCCTGAATAAAATGATATTCAAAAATGATTCTATGGTGTTTTCTGATGGAGAAAATATATGTTAGTTATCCACAGCTGACGTTACATTTATTTAACTCTTCACATAGTCCCTTGATCGTCATTAGCAACGGTCTGTTCTCCTTAGTGGTGGTCTGTTATTGAAAATGAGCAACCTCTGGAATGTCCCAATTGACCAATCAGAATCGAGTATTAAACTAACTTGTTTAATAACAGATTGTAGCCCAGCCCTAGGTTGAATTAGTATTCTACCCTCTGGTTTGGAAGGTGTGGAGTTTAGAGATATATATATATATATATATAATAGATACATTCAGAAATTAAAACATTTTTTTTTTCTCACTCAGGTCAGGGGCCAAAAGCTCACCTGAAGAAACTGGCAGAATGCATCCGCTGGTCGTACGGAGTGGGCCTCGTGCTGCGTCTGGGGAACATCGCCAGGCTGGAGCTGAACTACTGCATTCCCATGGGAGTCCAGAGCGGAGACAGGTAAGAGCTGCTGAGGAAGGAAACAAACATTCACACTGAAACTGCCTGGACAGGTGGGCTCTCTACCTCTTAGAGTGAGCCTCACACATCTGTTTACATGTGTCAGTAATGCAGGAAATATTGAGCACTGTCAAGCTTGCACCTGATGACTGAAGTGGGTTTGTTTAATGTCAATAGTCGGTCTATTTAATTTACAGTCCTGCCATAGCCACAGAAAACACAACAATTCTCAGATATGTCAATTAAACAAAAGATTACAACACACTATCTTTAAGTAAGTCTAAGTATACACTATATTCAGAATATGTTCTCGGCTGCATCTTGCCACCAGTAAGTGAAACTTGTCTTTACTGTTTTTCTCAATGGTGGCTTTGAAGGTAGTATATTTTCACTTTCAGTTCCTCGTGGGAAAGCTCCGTCTTCTGGCAAAATAAAGCATAACAAATACTCTAAGGCTAAGCACAGAGTACATTAAGCTGAGCAAACCTACTCGATTGTCTAGGTGGTTAAAATGTATTAGTTTGCAGCATTACATTGATTAACTATCGTGACACTGACTGTATAAGAGTACCTTATAACTCCATACAGAAAAAGTCTGATTCTTGATATTCTTTTATTTGAACCGTTTCCTCCGTTCCCTGCAGGATCTGTGACGGCGTCCAGTTCGGAGCAGGAATCCGCTTCCTGTGAATCCACACTTCTTTGGATGTTTGTTTTGTATCAGCATTATTTAATGGCAGAAATTGGAACGGGAAGTTGCTTGTACAGAATGGTTGTTACGACTAATTAGTTCAATAAAAGTGTTTGCACCGATTTTTGCACCGGGTCATTTTTCAGAGGCCAAATACTCTGGTCTCAGATTTGACTCCTTCACTCAGTTTACAAGATACATATCTGTAAGTCGTATACCAGCAAATTGCATTTACATTTTTGAATAATTGCTAAATTAATTGATTAGGAAAGAAAAAAAACCCAATATGTTACATTACATTTAGCTTTTATCCAAAAGCGACTTACAATAGGTGCGTTCGACCAAGAAGATACAAACTTGAAGAAAACAGAATCATATAAGTGCATCAGGTTTCATAGAGCTAAACATTTCAAGTGCTACTCAACTGGCTTTAGATAAGCCAGTCCTTTATTAGTATATAAGTGCTTTGTTAGTAGTTCTATCTCTCGAAGTGGAGTCCAAAGAGATGAGTTTTCAGTCTGCGCCGGAAGATGTGTAAGCTTTCTGCTGTCCTGATTTCAATGGGAGCTCATTCCACCATTTTGGAGCCAGGATAGCAAACCCACGTGTTTTTGCTGATGGGAACTTGGGTCCCCCTCGCAGTGCGGGTGCAGCGAGCTGTTTGGCTGATGCAGAGCGGAGTGCACGTGCTGGATTAGTGCTTGGTACATAGTAGCAAAAGGTCCGGAAAATTCAGAAAGCTCTGCTCTAAATCATTCAAATAAACCTTTTTTTGCTACCCTTACAAAACTTAAAGGGGACCTATCATGCAAAATGCACGTCTTTTCTACATGAATATGTGTCCCCGGTGTTCCAGGGAACTCACCAAGTGTCAGAAAACACAACCCTCTCTATTTTCCTCCATACCCAAATCTCTTAAAAAGGGGCTGCAACGGATCTGATACAGACTGATCCAGATTTGAACACTTCTATGACGTCACAGAAGTGGCGCTACGGCTATTGGTCCAACTCCACCAATCAGGAGGAGACAGCCACGGACATTGCCGTTCGAAAGCACTGGAGACGCTGTAATACATACGTCAGGCCTGTAGATGGTGCTGTTCTCACAGAATCAGCCCATGATGCAAAGACACTGTTAAATTGAGCAAAATTAGGAATGGCTAAAATCCATGATCGGTTTGGTATTTTGAAAAATAAAAAGTATAAATATGCCTTATATAGGTATGGTCCTACACTATATTATTCAAATATAGCATGATAGGTCCACTTTAACACAAATGTAATTGAAACCTCCTGAGGCTGAACTCAGGATCTGGCTGTATTAAGCATCTGTATATATTTGTTACTACACATTATTAAGTATTAAAAAAGTGGGAACATGCAAAAGGTCACAGTTGGAATAAATTCATAAAAATCAACAGCACAGAAATGAAGAATCATTCTGGATGTTTGTCTCACCTTGACGGGTCTGTCGTTGCTCTCTGGGATGGGCTCTGATTTGAGGTAACGCTTCAACGAGCGACGTGTTTTTGCTGATGGGAACTTGGGTCCCCCTCGCAGTGCGGGTGCAGCGAGCCGTTTGCCTGATGCAGAGCGGAGTGCACGTGCTGGGGTGTATGTTGAGCTTCTTAAATATGAACATTGAATACCTTTCTGTTGTATATCATTATAAACTGAATATCAAGGTTTTGTTCTGTAAGGTATTTGAAGATCTTGGACTCTGGAAACTTAAAGACATTATACCATTCTGCTACTCAGAAGAAACGATGAATAGATAAAATGATTAAAAGATCAATTGAAGGAAAGTTTCAGCCCTATATGTTGATCATTATATGCTCTGACTTTAAACACTATTTGGAATAACAAGAGGTTTGAATGAAGGTCATACAGTACGTTTTGGTTTTGTGGGCCTTTTTATTTCACAATCCTTCCAAATGTACAAAAACAAAGACACGTTACAAAAAAAAAAAAAAGGATTTCACCATTACCATTATCCCCGTGACGACGACAACAAAAAAAACAGAGCGACAGATGACTGGCGTCAGACCAAAGTGCATCAGCCTGAGGTGCAGAAGACACACCAAGGGAAATCAAAATCTCAATTTTCAAAAAGCTGTCCCCTCTTCCCTAAGAATTTGTTTTTGTTTTTAAACATCGGGCAGGCCCTGGCCACCTCCTCCTTCCACAGAATTCCCAGAGCAGCGGAGGACCTAAAGGGACCGTCTGTTTCGGCCTCAGAGCATTCGGTAGTTCACTAAGAGAGTGGAATATAATTTAGTCCTTTGTTTGCATGGATTCCCCCAATCCTCCTCCTCCTGTTGTGAAGGGGATGTTGAGTTCCTGTTTGGAGCTTTTATAGCTCGATCTTGTCGTCATCGTCGTTCTTCCTCTTCTTCTTGCTCTCCTCCTCCTCCACCACCAGAGTGTTGGTGGCCTCCTTCTTCAGGTAGGCGATGAAGTCGCTCACCTCGCGGCCGCCCTGCAACACGAGCGGAGAGACGGGACAATTAGCAGAGTGGAGACACAAATACTGAAGCCATTTTTATTTTAATAGGATTATAAGTCAATGTTTTGGGTCCTATTTTACATCTCAATCTTTATTTATATATATATATATTTGTACATGATACTGGGATTTGATATACATGTTAACTAATGTCTCCCTCTGCTGTCCCATCGTTATGCCATATATGGACATACACGTTATCCACCGTGCATGATAGTCAGTTTTTGTTATGGTTGGAATTTACCGCAAACTCCTTTCCATACATTTGAACAGAGTTCATCTTGATGTATGTTTGTAGGCTGGCCGCCCGTATTGAAAAACAAATATGAACTGATGCAACATAACAACGACCTCTGCGCATGTTTGGTCAGAAGTCAGAATCCACAACGCCATGCGAGGGACAGTGGATTGTTTTTTGCCGCTTGGACAAACAAGAGTTTAATTTGTTTTATTGATCAGGGATTCTTACCTCGTATTTCTTCGGGCTCATCTTGCTTCCAGCTGGGGAAAAGTACAGTGTGGGGAATCTGAGGAGGAAATCAAATCATTAATACATCGTACTGAACCTTTAGATACTTTTAAAATATTAATTCTGTAACTAAGCCTAAAAGAAAAAGTGGCACCTTATCCAAGGTTCCCAAATCCACAAAGATGAATTTCATCTAGGGTTGGGGTAACTTATCAGCCTACATATAAACGGACGGATGTTTTACTTCCTGAATACTCAACACTCACCCGCTGACTTCATATGGAGATGGCACATCGTTTGCTGTGGCGTCCATCTTTGCAATGACAACGTTGGGATCATTGCCGAGCTTTAAGAGGAGAGAAACTGTTAGTGCGCTTGTTCTCAACATCCAGAGAGTCTGAGCAACCATTCAAGCTAAAAAGAAAACTGGCTTATACTCATTGAATACAGAGCTGAATTGAATAACTGACAAACTATTCAACCCCAAACCTTTTCTCTTTGCCCAGCTGGTTAAATCTGCAGTTTTTATTCAGAGCACTGTTTCAGTTTCCTCACCTTCTCTCCCAGCTCGTTGAATTTGGGCTCCAGGGTCTTGCAGTGTCCGCACCACGGAGCGTAAAACTCGATCAGCACGTCTTTGCTGTCGTCGTTCACGATGGAGTCGAAGTTCTCTGCCACAAGAACCTGAACACAAAGGGTACACATCACAGGTTTAATCATCATGGATTCAATGTATTAAAGACTATACACGAGTGAGGTCTTTTTTACTGTTACATCGTCCGCATGTAAAGTCAGAATTAGTGCTTGGTACAGAGTGGCAAGAGGTCCGGAAAATTCAGAAAGCTCTAAATCATTCAAATAAACCTTTTTTTGCCACCCTTACAAAACTTAACACAAATGTAATTGAAACCTCCTGAGGCTGAACTCAGGATCTGGCTGTGTTGAAGGATGAAGCATCTGTGTATATTTGATACTACACATTAAGTATTAAAAAAGTGGGAACATGCGAAAGGTCACAGTTGGAATAAATTCATAGAAATCAACAGCACAGAAATGAAGAATCATTCTGGTTTGTCCATACTTGCCAACCTTGAGACCTCAGAAATTGGGAGCAAAATTGGGGAGTGGATCGCTGGAGCTGTTAGATTAACATTAACATGCTTATTGTAGTTCTAAGTGCACTGCCTTGCGGCCTGTAGCACCATCCTTGATGGAGCATATGTGTGGGCTGGACCTGTCCAGGAAAGGAGTGAGCAGAGGGTGGAGTAGTTGTCGATTCTTGTTCTGTGACTATCTGCTTCACCCTCTCAGACTTTCAGTTGCGCGTTACTAAAGAGACGTGTTACCATGGAAACCAAACAATGGTGTAGCTGTATTAAAGTTCAGAGTGGAAACAGTCCTNCCTGAGTAAATCTGATTTTGTCAGAAATCGGGAGAAATATGACCCCGGGAGGAAACTGGGAGAGGGCAATGAAATCGGGAGGGTTGACAAGTATGTGTTTGTCTCACCTTGACGGGTCCGTCGTTGCTCTCTGGGATGGGCTCTGATTTGAGGTAACGCTTCAACGAGCCGTCAAAGTAAGCCTGCAGGAAACGCTCCAGAGCTTTGCCATCACGACTGTCGGGAGAACAAGAACACAACTTGTTTAAGGGAGAGACAACCAAGAAACATCAACACTGTCCAAAGCTTTTACATTTTCAAGATTTCAAGGCTTTTATTGTCCTTCGTACAGTTTAGTTATGTCGATGAAAATCTAAGGTCACAGGCTCCTCCAACAGACACAATAGTACAAGTAAATACAATATAGAATAGAAGTAGTGCTACATAGAGTCTATAAACAAGTGATATATCATTTGTAAGTTGCAAACAGGCGAATATTATGGATGTTCTTAATTATACTTTTCTGTACAACTTTTACAAATCTGAATCAGAGATTGTACAGTATTTCTCTTTGTCTAGATAACACACAAACATAATTAGTTAAACAGTCTTAAAACATCTGGAGGGAGAGTGTGTGTGTGTGTGTGTGTGTGTGTGTGTGTGTGTGTTCTTCGTGGTGCTACGTTGG